AGAAATGCAAGATGCCCCTGGAATTCCAAATTCCCAATCAAGACCACGAACCACTTCAGGAAAGTATATAATAGCTACGCAGTTACCAGATATTGTAGACCACAGCCGCACCATCTCATTATCGCTGCACGATGCCAGTTGCGTGCCATCAGGTGCTCCGTGGTTATCTCGTAAGTCAATTAAAGCAGTTAATTTAGTGGTGATTTTGGTTGTGGTAGTTTTGGGGAGAGTATTCAAGGCATTATTAATTGCTCCTTGTTCTGTAGTCACTTCCCTTGTAAAGTTGTTAAGCGAGTGATGGCTGTTGTTACATCATTGGCATTCGTGCCGTCATTTCATGCCGCTTGTTCGGCAGGAGTACCACCTGCTCCGTGATTATCTCGTAAGTCAATTAAAGCGATTAATTTAGTGGTGATTTTGGTTGCGGTAGTTTCGGGGAGAGTATTCAAGGCATTATTAATTGCTTCTTGTGCTGTAGTCACTTCCCCTTGTAAAAGTTGTTAAGCGAGTGATGGCTGTTGTTACATCATTGGCATTCGTGCCCATCCTTTTCCTCAAAAAAATCATTTATCTTCTTGAAATCCTGCTTCCTTGGAGTAAGTTGACAATAAAATGAACAGATGCTTTTTTCTCCTCGGTTTCAGTTTCTCTGTGTCAGACTTGTTTCTTGAATTACACTAATTGCGAAAAAACCTTGATCTCATTCCGTCTTCTGGATATGGTATCGAATTGATTTTTTGATCCGGCACTAAGAACAAGTGAAATGCCAAGAAACACGTGTTCAGACGCAAGGAACCATCAAACCGTTTATCAATGCGGCGCTAAAAACAAGTGAAATGCCAAGGAACATGTGTTCGGACGCAAGGAACCACCAAACCGTTCATCAATGCGGTGTTAAATCTAAGAAGTTTTGACGCATTCCATTGTTCTAGTTAAGGTGGCTCACAAAGTGGCTCAAAGATTCTCGCGTCAGAGATTTACGCTTTCGAGTCGAACATTGACTCAGAGAAGCATCAGCATGCTAGGCTGTATGACCTTGATGACTTTGATTATCGACATTTTTAAAATTCTTTGTGTGATGAGTAGAAGGCAAAGTTTCAATACCAACAACTTTAAATATTGATTGGTTGATCAACATATTAGATTGGTCTAAGTGTGTTTTAACGTTTCTGATTGGTCGCTATAATTTCATGGGTCCATTCCCTAGTATACTATATAGCGAATTTCTCTATAACGATAAAAAATCTTCAGAACCATGCAGCCGGTATAACCAGGTTTGACTGTAATGTTATTAAATCTTTTTTTATCAGAATATACAGTATATAAAGACAATATTAACAAATATATGTTCTTCCTTTATATTTACTATGATTATATACTAGCTTATGTAAATCTTTGATTATATATGTAATAAAATTGAATTCAATTATTTTTCAAAAATCATATTATAGTAAAATTACTAAGTAACATATAATAAATAATGAAATTTATATTTAATTCAGAATTATATTGTTGATCAAATTTTCTTTATAGTAATATGAACATATGTATGTCTTTAATAATATAGTAATAATTTCTATTCTCCTTTATTATTATTAAAATATTTATTTGCTTAAATTCTATATATATATTTTTTTGAAAGATATTAGAATTCAAGACACTTATTTTAATTAAATTATTTATAAATATATAGATTGATTTTAAAATTATTTTCTTTGAACTTTTTGTAAACTGGTATTGAAACTAAAATTTTTTTTTTTTTTTTTTTAAAACGGGTGGCGTACACCTTGTTTATTAAATTTATTTCGAGAAACTGTAAATTCGTTTTATACAAATTTTTTAACTCTATCTATTTAATAAACTCATTAAGGACTAATCCTACCATGCGGCTTATTGCCTGTATATTAGTATATACTTAGCTAATTTGCCAAGGCTCTACCAATCCCTATTAAAATTAATTTCGAAAGTATATATTGTGTTCCAGTTGATCCAATTTTTACTGGCATATTCCATTATTGTGTTTACTCCGTCTGTGTATAGATTGTTTGTTTGTGTGTTTTTTGTAAATGTTTTCCATTTGTTTTTATCTTGTTTTTGGATGTTTTCGCTCTTTTCCC